TCTCCCTACTTCTTATTATCTATTTTTGTTTAGTTCTTGATAATTTAGGTGTTTCATATAAGAGAAATCACGCTTGTGTGTCTGATTTATTTTAATTAATATTATGGCCTCGAGGTGCATCCATTTTCTTCCAAATGACTCATTTATCTTTCTTTATGGCAGAGTAGTGCCCCATTGTGTGTAAACACCACATTATCCTTATCTACTCATCTGCTGATGGACATATAGGCTACTTTCAAGATTTAGCTAATTTGAATTGCACTCCCCAAAACAGTGGAGGATATATCACTGTATTATTAGTACAGTTAGAAACAATAGAGCTGAGGAAGTCACTCTCTTCCATCTATTTAATTAATTTTTTTTAGACAGGGTCTTGCTATGCAGTTCAGGCTGGTCTTGAACTTGTGGTGGTCTTTCTTTTTTTTAGACAGGGTCTTGCTATGCAGTTCAGGCTGGTCTTGAACTTGTGGTGGTCTTTCCAGCTTAGCTGGGGTAACAGGCTTGTACCACCATGCCCATCCCTCCATTTAATTTTAAATAGCACCCTATGGCCACTCCTCCTTCCAATGTCCTAAGAGAAGTAGAAAATCCATAACAACAGCTCAGGAGATCTCTCCAGAAAAGAACACATGCGTGTTGGATCCCTTGGCCTAGTCTTTAGTCATTTTCACCCTACTCAGATGTCATTAAGGGGTCATAAATATGCACTACATGTCATACATGTAATTAAGATCAGAGTGAATTCTGGGACGCGCGTGTGTGTTGAGAGCCCCTGAGATGACTCAGCATTGTCACTCATACCTGTCAGTCACACCTAGAAACTCTGGCGAGGCCCCTGGCCTGAGCTGTAAGTTCTTAAATTCCCAAAGCCTGATTAATCAGGGGCTGTTGCTGCTGCTGTGCGCTGTGCTTTTGCTGTCCTGTCACCCCAGCACCACTTTTCTGTTTGTGCCATATCTCTAGTTGGCACAGACTTGCCCTGAGCACAACTTCCCATGATCTTCCATAAAAGTAGCTGCTTTTCGCTCACCATTTGTATTGTATGCTTGCAATCCTTTCCTCGTCATTCAAAAGAGCCCGAAATCAGTCTGCTAAGTTCGTCATACAGTAACACTGTGATGTCTTTAACTCTTTGGGGCTAAAAGTGATACTCTCTCTGGCACAGACAATCTTCCAAGCAGAGATTTTTCTAGAGCCTTTGGTGGACGTAATTTATGTAGAAACAAATGAACTGCCTGATGGAGGCCGGTTTTGAATGTATAACATATGTATACACGAAGCTAATCCTTCACATTCATCAGCCTTCTGTCATATCTGTAGCCTTAAGGAATCAAGGAAAATGCAGCCATATTTTGGTAATTTGTTAGAAACTGCTTGATGAGATTTATGCTGATTGAACCTGCCACTAAGGTACTTCTGAGTAGGGTTAGATTTATGGCTCCAAAACATCAGGACAGTAAGGGCCTCAAAAAAAAAAATCACCTCTAAAATAAGTGATGAAACTCCCATTAGTGCAGTCAGGTGAACTTTATCTTGGAATACATAGTGGGTGAATTTATTAAGTCACCACCATGTTTTTTTTTTTTTTTGAGACAGGGTCTCACTATGTAGTTGAGACTGACCTGGAACTCACCATGTAGCCCAGGCTGGTCTCCAATTCACAGCGATCCTCCTGTCTCAGCCTCCCGACTGCTGGGATTACAGGCGTGCACCACCACGCCCAGCTTCTACCATGTTAATTCTCACTGTATGTTTTCCTTTTTTACTATTCTAAGAAAGTGGCCAGGCTTTTGTTGTTCACCTGCCTCTGGAGCTCAGGGTTTCAGGAAACAGAGAAGAACTGCTCAAAGACAACAATCCTTCTGGGATTTGGGAAACAAACTCTCCAAACTCCCCTTCTTTGAGGAGATCGTGGGTTTTTTCCAGCCCAAAGAGTATTGACAAGGTAGGGTGGACAGGGTTTTCCAGTGGGAAAATGTCCCACTTCCTAGCAGTTGTCGTGGAGTATGACTTCAGACCAGCACCCAGCATGATACTTCTCAGGATGGAGCCCTAGGAATGGGGTTTTCCTACCTCTGCCAAGATCCTGTCGTCTAGGAAACAGTGAAGCTGACCACCACCCAGAAATAACATGGACTTGGACACTAAGTCACTCAGGGGACCTGCCTGACATTCTAGAAAGCACAAACCTTCTAGGGGCTGTAGCAGGAAGAAAGGAAGCCCTCGTAAAGAAAGAATTTGAATTCCAGAGCCTCCATTCCTTACAACTGGCAGTTTGGAGTCAAACTTCATTTGATTTAGAAAAAAAAGTCATAAACCAAGTATGGTAGAATAAAACTGAATCAAATGCAACAGTTCCCATGGAAGTAGAATATTGACTTGGAAAAAAAAAGAAGAAAATGGGATGAGAAGAAGAAATGAAAAAGAAGGAACAGTAAGGAGGTAAGAAAGAGCTAACCTAAAGCATTACTACTTAAAGAAACGATAACCCTGTGAGTAGAGAGAAAAGATGCACTCCTAGGGCAGGTGTTCTCAAGCCACGCCAAAGACTGATGCGATTCGATTCTGTCTCTCAGGACTTTGGGATGGCAAGAGAAAGAGAGATATGCAGCTGTGCAGAGAAAAACAGAAGTGCTGGTTCCTTCAGCTTCTCTACCTGGGGATCAGTGAAACAAGTCCAGCTGCACTTCCTGCCTTGGATTCTGTGAACCACACCCCATGTCCTGTCCAAATCCCCTTTTCCACTTAAGCAAATTGAACTTGGATTTCTGCTAATTGCAACCAAAATAACCTGCATCAAGATACTCCCCAACGCCTCATGATGAAGTCCAGACTGCCAAACCCAGTAGTAGAGTCCTTCACGATCTGGTGCCTGTTTACTCTCCATCTTTCATGTCAACACCTTCGACTCCTGCTCCGTTTCAGTCAAACTGAACTACTCTTCAACTCTTTCTGCTCTCTGGGTATAATGTGTTTTCTGTGCTTGTAACACCACTTGGCAATTGCCCTGTGTGCTTTGTCGGTGTCATTTCCTTCAAGAAACCCTTCTCAGTGACACTCCCAATGCAGTTCCTTCTTCATAATCTGAGTGCCTTTACCCCTTTGTTCCTGTTACTACATATGATATAATGATTGTCAGTTGGCTTTTCTTCTGCCCTAGGTTCTGAGCTCTGGGCTAGCAAGGAAGGAGTCCTGATCACTGTTGTATCTGGGTGTCTAACATCGTCCTGGTTCTTGGCTTCACCCAATAAATACTTGTTGAATGAATGAATGCCGTGCCTTCCTTGCCATCAGTCACCTAACCCAGCTGCAGACGATATTGAAGGGGAAAAATGAAAATTACTTCAGCCTCAAGCTATGGACTGTGATTGGGAAATACCCTAGAGGTCAAGAATCAGTCACCCTGATGGTTTGGGAATATCCTGTTACCTTCGTTGTATCTTCTTTCTTCTTTCTTTAATGATTTGCCAACGTTTCTAATTAGAGAAGAGACCACAGGCATTTATTGACTCAAATGTGCTGCATCACAAGGGAGATTTTGAGAATAAAACTAGAATTTAGCATCTTAGAAATTCAATCCATCTGAGATCTCTTGGAAAGCTTTGCCCTTGGGTCATTTAGCACAGACTTTCATAGTCACTGAAAACTGTTGTCATGGCAATCATGGAACCTTTCATGATTTTTGTATATGAGTTAATGAAGATACTGGAAGTAGCCCAAAGGAATTCATATTTGGGTGTACATTTGTCTCCATATTAACCCAATCATTGTTTTTAACACACATATGCCCCAGGGCCGGTTCTCCTGGCTCATGGTTCTGACAGGAATAAATAAACAACTGATTCCTTTTTAGTATTTCAGCTTAGGAGGCTGTGGATGGCTGCCCTTTTGGTCTCATTTCAACAGGAAATCCCACATGGAAGGTTTAAAAGAGCAGAAGAAAAAAGAGTGGCTGTATGAAGCAAATCTCTTTCTTTTCAAGCTATTAATGTTGCTGATTTCAAGATACTTAATAGTTATAAAGAAAGTAGCAATTGTGGAACATGGAATGCAGAACACTGACTATCTCTAAGGCCTTTATTTTAAGGTTGTTTATAAACACATCTTGCCTGAAGCTTCCATTAAGCCTACAAACATGGATCCAGAAATCCCAGTGTGCTCACAGTATGTGAGTGTGAGATTTCCCATCTGTGTTCTGTTCGACTAGTGATTCCCCAACATCTAGTTGTCACTTCTTTCTTAGTAATAGAACCCCTCATTTTTAGTAAAGCATGTGGACTCTTGAAATCAAGACATTCCCCCCTCTTCTTTAAGGCTGACCAATGGTATTTAAGCAGAAATGGTACATTTAGTTTTCTTGATCTGTCTTTAGAAAGGGTTAGTGGGTGCCCTCTTCACCCCTTCTTACTGACTGGAATGATGGATTGAGATGGAGGAGCCATTTTGGACAGTGAGTTGAAAGCCATGTGGAAAATGACAGGATTACAAGACAGAAGTTTGGGTCCCTAGGATTGTGGAGCTTCCACAAAATTACAGACTGACTATGTTTACAGGAAAGAGAGGGAAACTTGACTCTTACGTTAAGTAAGAATTGGATTTCTATCATCTACTCCTAACTGATAATGTCACCCAAAAGTGAGTTTTTTTCCTTCTGTGAAATTTACCTTCTTATAACAGGGCATGCTGGAAGATGGGTAGAATTGCTGGACCTTTGTATTAGCCATAATGGTATTGAGAAAACATGAATTTTCTAGTGCAGTAGAACCACAAACCTTTTATTCTAAGCCAGAACTTTTATCTCAAATGCTTTCTTTGTATGAGGTAGATCATGAATAAGACTTATCTCTACTTTGTCTAGGTGCAATACAAACAAGATAGAGAAAAAAACCCCTAACCAAACCAAAACAAAATTTCACCTCCCATGTTGTCTGAAACAAGTGGAGCAACCTTCCCCATGGGAGACAAGTCTTCTATCAATGAGGAATTGCGATTTTACTTACTGAACTTAGGCCTTTTGCTCTTCTTTTCCAGTTCCTTATTGGAATGTATTCCAGTCACCAGCAAAACTGCATAAAGAAAATACAAATTGAAAAATGTCATCAATATTATTTCACCTAAATGTTTCTCTCTTCTGAGCCTTACATTTTGTTTTGGATCACGCATATTCTCATCAAGGGAACTTATTTACCTATATATTAAGATTGGGAAGCTGAGATGCACAATCTGTGTAACCCCGGCTGAAAGGTTCTTTCAATGTTACCTCTTAAATACTTTGACTTTGTTTTGCTGCCTTGGAATTTCACCATAGCTGTCTTATCGTCTCTGTTTCCCACAGGAGAAGATGTAGGCTTGGAGAAATCTACTGATTTTGCACAGTTCCAGGAATGAAAGCGAGAAGCGAGCTGAACACCTCACCAGTCTTATGCCTTTTGCTCTGTGCCACAGCAGTCTTCCAAATGGCCGGTTTCCTCATAGCCAGAGAGCTGCATAGGGAGTGTGGGCACCCCAAGTGGGTATCCGTGCATGTGTGTGGGTGTGCGTGTATGTGACTGAGGGAAGGCTGAACAGACAGGTAAAAAGCCTCGTCAGTGGAAGATATTCCAGGGGAACAGTGCTGGGGGTAGAGGGGAAGACAGTCACAGGGTGTTACGGTTTACTTCTGAAATGTCCCCCCAAAGTCTTATGCTTTTGGAAGGTGGTCGGATCATGGGGCGTGATACTGATACTCAGCAGTGGATTCCTGGATGAGTTCAGGAGTTGAATGTGCTGTTCGCAGGTGGGGCCTCATTGGAGGTAAGTCCCTGGGGGGCATGCCCTGGAAGGGATATTCTTGCCTGGCTCCTCCCTCCTCTCTCTGCTTCCTGGCTGTCCTGAGTTTAGTACCTTTTCCTTCACCATATCCTTCTGCCGTGCCATTTCTGCCTTGGAGCCAGCTGGCCATGGACTGAAACTGTGAGCCCAGATAAATCCCTGTTCCTTTAAGTTGTGGATATTGAGTATTTTGTCCCAGTGACAAGAAAGTGACAAGGACATAAGGTCTGAGGAGTGACTTGAGCCTCTGCTGGTGGTCCACTCCAGCAGCCCTGATTCTGTGTCCTCCTCAAAAACTCGAGAAGAACCTCAAACAGCATTTGGATACTGCTGTCCTCTGGAAGCAGAGTGATGAGGAAGAAAGAAGAACTTTTTATCCTTTTGAAGTCACATTCCCAGTTTCTTTTGAAACACATAAAATGAACTTGAGCTTCAAGCTTTTATTTTTTATTTATTTTTTGGTACCAGGGATGGAACTCAGGTCCTTGCGCTTGCAAGGCAGGCAGCGGAACCACTGAACTAAATCCCCAGCCCAAGCCTCAAGCTTTTAAAAAATAACATTGACTGTTTTTCTTTTTGTTACAAAGTAACACATGTCCCTGGTAGAAATATCTAAAAAGCACAATAAAAACCAGTTCAGAAAATATGGATGAATACAACAGATAATACTGTTTTTTTCACTCTGTCCCTCTTTCTCTTTTTTTCCCTCTTTCTCTCTACCTTCCCTTCTTTCACCTCTTGCCTCTCTCTCTCTTTTAAACAAACATTTGATTTTAATGATGCTAGTTATAACATTTTGTAACTTATTCCAACTTGATATATACATTCATTTTTTCTTGTCATTAAATGGTTTTCCACAGTAATTTTAACTGCCTTAAGTATTATACTATATGAATGTATTGCAATCTACTCAAAATTCCATTTAATGCAAAACTGCTTCATCATTGTAAAGAACATTATTATTTCATTAAAATAAATTTTCAAATAGAATTTCTTGCCTGAAATTTGTGCCCACTTAAAATTTTAATATATATTGTGATGATTTCTCATGACAATGCTCACTTCCCCATCCCTGCATTAATTCTATCTGTAGCAGAAAAGCAGTGTTTTTCCTTTCAAAATGCTCATTGATTCCTTATGCTTCTTCCTTCCTTCCAGGCATCTTTTCACCTCGGCTACCCCATGGTGACTCTCCTTTAATGTAGCACCACTTTAGCCATTGTTGTGGTAAACTCAGTTTTGGGATGAAATTGGGGCTCTGGAGATGAGTGTGGGGAAACCCAGCAATCAGAAGAGCACTTCGGGTTGGTGTGGGAAGTGACTCAGTGGCAGAGTATTTGTCGAGCATGCACAAGGCCTGGGAGTCTATCCCCAGTATAGCAAAAAATAAATACATAAAAATATAAAAAGAAGGTAAGTATTTGACCACATACTTTATTTATTTATTTTACCAGAATACAGATGCTCAATTTGAGTATCAATGGACTTAGAAATTCTTAAATTGGCAGTTGTTTTTAAAGGAAAAAATGGTAATGTCATCAAGGGATTTAAAAAAGTTTGTATTTCTTTTAAGTTTTCCTAGCTGCTATAGAATGAGTTTGTGTGTGTGTGTGTGTGTGTGTGAGTGTGTGCGTGTGTGTGTGTGTGTGTGTGTGTGTGTGTGTGTGTAGTACCGGGGATCGAAAGCTGCTATAGAATGAAACTTTTGTCTCTCCTCCATTCACATGTTGAAATGGTATGAGAAGACAGAGCTGTTGGTAGGTGACTAGGTCATGAAGGTGGAGGCCTCATCAATAGAATTAGTGCTCTTTAAAAAGAAGTCCCCCAAAACTGCCTTGTCCCTTCTGGCATGAAGGACCCATTAAAATGGTGGCTGTCTATAAGCCAGGAAGTGAACTGTCACCATGCACTGCCTTGATCTTGGTTTTCCCAGCCTCTAGAATTTTTACAAAAAAAAAAATCTGTTTTTTTTTTTTATAAGCCACCGCATCTATGACAGTTTGTTCCTGCAGCCTGAGCAGACAGAATAACTAATTTATGCCAGTGAAGTAAACACTAAATTATCCCTAAATTTGACTATTAGCACTACACTAATTGAAATGTGAGCAGTTGACCTACCAGGTCTTACTGTTGCAGAATTTAAGAGATCAGAAAGAACAACAGGCGAAAGAGGCAGATTTATTTGGGTGCACACCAGCTCAATGGACTCATGGCCAAGGGCTGAACCCAGAACAGAGGAAGGGCTCTAGTTTTATATATGTTGCAGAGTGGGGTTGGTCTGCCTTACAGTGTAAAACCTGTGGACAGAGTGGAACAAAAGCAGTTAATCTGTGACAGTTTTACAATTTAGCATATCTTGGTAGTCTTGGTTGGGCAAAAACAAGCTCCTATGAGAACAGGAAGCTGTGAAACCTTACTTACAAGGACAAAGTTACTAATTTTATTTGTAATAGAATAAAGAACAACAGCTGTCGGGCAGGGGAAGTCTAAGAAGGAACTGCCTAGGTTGGGGAAAAGTCCTGCTTCACTCAAGAACAGAAACATGAAAGACTGTTGAGTGAGGACTCAAAGTCCAGCCAACAAGAATGAAGGCAGACACTTTTTAGATGTTATTTACTTCTAGGATTTGGGTGGGTGTGAGTGTTCTGGAAGTCACTCTGCACCACGGAATTCTGTACAAAGACCACATTTTAATTTTATGTAAAAAAATAAATATCTAGTATCCTAGAGTATTTTAAAAAAAACAAGTACTACATAAATATATAGAAAAATCAAACGAAGGAATATGTAAAATAATAGAGTATTAATTTTTGGATAAAACCAAATGTGTTCCTTTTGGGCCATTGTACGTTTGGACAGTGGTCTATAAATCTTAGTATTAGAGGGGCAGGAGGCACTGAAGATAGGAAAAGATAGGATGAAGGCCTCGTTGAGTTTTATTAAAAATTAATAAGGCAATTTTGGCCTCTACAACTAGACTCTACAAATTAGAAAGACAAAGGCAGCTAAACTCTAGCAATTAGGAAGATAATGACAAAGAAATAAGGAAGAGGAAGTTCCTAGGTAGCACCATTAACATAAGAATCACAAACTTCCCCTCTACTTAATCCTTAGTCTAAACCATGGGTCCATAAGGCCTTCATCCATATTTTTGCCCTCTATCAAAGGACAGGGAAAGCTCACATGACCTGAAGAAATCCAAGATAAGGATGAAAAACAAGGCAGATAGCCAATCAGATTCCAAGAGCCTGCATGGGACAAAGATCTCTATAAAAGGAACTCCTGACAGGAAATGCACTGTTACTCACTTCAGATGCTCCCTACTTTTCCAGAGTACCTGTCTGCCATGTCTGTTCTGCTCCTCCCTTCTTATTCCCCTTTCTTCACCTTCAAATAGTCTTCTTTTATTTTAAACCGCTCCTTTAGATCTTTTGCCTACACTGGGTGTAGGATCACTGAGAGCTGCATATTGCAGCAGAGCAGTGACTTGCTGTCCACCCCTGGATGTTACAGTGTGGCATAGTGTACCACCCTGTCCAGACATTACATTAACATTAGAACTATAAATATTTCAGCCATCACCCCATTACTTGTTTAGTCATCCAAGACCCTCTGGTTAAGTTTAACAGCAGCAGTTAATACAGCCCTTATTGTCAATGATTCACACAGGCTCTCCCCTCAGTTTATGTGCAATTTAATTAAAGCTCCCCAGAAACTACTCCTCCAAGAGAGGGCTGGTCAATAAGGCTTATAAATATGCTTGTGCTCTGGAGCAAGTCTTCATGTCTTATCTGCAAGACTTCTCTTGCTACATTGGAAATGGAGAATTGCACATGGAACTTGGATGAGAGAAACAATAGTCTTGTATTTGTTTTGTTCAGCTGCCTAGCAGAGCACCACACAGAGGGCTGATGCCTGCCTGCTTCCGTGGACAAAGAAGCAGACCAATCCAGTCCCATGCGTTAGAGTCAATCACTGTCTGTGCTGAGACTATTAGTGTCCATAGCCTACAAGGAAGTAAAATCTAGAATCCAAAGTTTCAAAGCGGTCGTCATTTACCAAATCTGCAGCAAGGTTTCTCTGTGTTTTCAAATCTGGTGTGCTGGTTTTATATAACATAAAAAAGGTCTCAACTGTCTTTAATTGAAATTTCAAGGAAATTAAACATTAAATTGCTTTTTTTGGATAAAAAAGTGTCACTCCATTCTTTCTGGTGTAACACTAAGTGCAGTTAAATATCTGAGGTATAATTGTT